GGATGAAGTCAAGTTGTATAAACATGGCTACCTGGGGCCCAATCCTCTATGTGTATGGAGAGGGGCAATTCTCAGAGGAAGTGGCTTACTTAATACGGGCCTAGCAGACACCCCACAAGTATCCAGCTCTACACCCCTGACACATTCAAAGGAGTGAAAAATGGGACAGGAGTTTCCCACTGGATCCCGTATTCAGGAACTCATGGTGAAATGGGAAGTGTGCCAAGCTGGAGGACCTCCTCAGTGCCTTCCATTTACTTCCATATGGATGGATTGATTCCATCTATAAATGGCAGAAAGAATATTTTTTATAAATAAGGGATGGCCTCAGAGACAAATGTGTGAAAGCGCACAAATTATGTTACAAACAATGTAGTTCATGGCTATGTAATCCCAGTCTCCATTGACATCCTGGAATATTTTCAGCCCAAGATCCAGAAAGTCTCTGATGTGTTTCTTGGTAAGGTGACTGTTCTTGCAAGTATTGGTTTTAAAATAAATACACTGGGTGAACTCCTCGAGTCGAAGCATGAACAAAAGAACAAGCATCAGGGTGAGTTAATACTAAACTCAGAAGGAGTTCCTTTAGGATTTCCAGATGTTGAAGAAGCCTAGCCCACTTTACTAGTTGGTGTCCAGCGGTAGCAGGATATTAATGGCCAGTCGTGTTGGATTCTACCTCTCTGCCATGAGGCAATGGAAATGACAAAACCTGTGTCACCCAGTAACACTTTACAAGTGGATTCAACTTCTGACACTGCATAGATGAACTAAAATTAGTTTTTACAATATAAGAACTGCCTAGGGTTTTCAACTGCTTTGATAATTTAATCCAAATGCAATTAAAACACACGCACACACACATATACATATATCAGAGTGACTGGGAAGGTAATAAAGAAGCAACACATAAAATATTATCCAAAATTCAGAATGCATCACCACCAGAGGTCATGGGCAAACATTTATTTCAATTCTATTTAAAGTATACTTGAGATTAAGGATGCAAGATGCGTCCTTTTCAAGTGCAAACGTTATCTAGTTCAGTTCACAGCTAGCCGCCTGCTAATCATTCCCTCCAGATCTGGGAGAGGGCTGATCACATTGATAATCAAGATTTGCTAAAACAAAAGCCCAAAAAAATCTTCTGAGTCATCAGGTTGTAGCTGGAAAACATTAGACATGAGCTGGAGAGTTCGATGAGTTTAAAAATATCCTTTTTACTTTGAAGCCTATTCTCTTGAATTTGACTATAGAATTTCAGTGCTTCTCTTCTCATAGCTCTTATCTTTAAGAGAAAGTTACACCCCAAACAGAGGCAATCATACATGTCCACCCCAAGAATGGACCACCTACAGAGAAGAAACACCCTGGAGATGCCATAGATGACACCGAGCAGCTTACGTGGTTTGGCCCTGGCTGGTCAGTGCCCTTTTGATCTGGGCTCCATTCCCCAGGGAACTGCATTCCTCAGGTTCTGTTGCCCTCTGCCTTTCAGGTGGTTTGGCCAATGGGAGGCAAGGTACAAGACTGAAGGACAGGAGGAGGACAGAGCAAGAACACCTCTCCATTCCCTTTGTCATGGGGTGCTCATGACATGGCTGTATTTCCTTTGTAGCTCCCTTTCTGCAGGGAACCCCCCTCTCTACCTGATCATAGTTGCCACCTGCCAGCCTATTATGATTCCAGCTTCCAGCATATGACCCCAAATCCTGGGCTTTGGTAACTTATATCCTTTCTCTCTCCAGTCCTAGACCTGGTACTAGCTTCCTGCCATTGCTAACCTCACATCTCTTGTTTCGCTTTCAGCTCTTCCAGTGGCTGTGTAACCAATTCCCTATATTAAATCCTCTCTGTTTGAGATACCTAGAGTAATTACAGTTTTCTTGTCTGGACCTTAAATGGTATAGGGACACAAAACCAACACACATGCATTCAAAAGTCAAAAGTAACAAAGTTATATGATTAAATGAGGATATTGGATAGCCCAAAATGTGTTCAAAAAAGGCAAAAATTACAATAGTCTAGAAATTGAGATTTCCTGTGGTTGGTCATGGTTCCCAGTATGACCTTTCTTCAACATCTTGACCTTTCAGCTTCAGTTTCTATAATAGACTTTTCCTCTGAGTATTATCAAGCCGCATTTCTGAGGACTTATTTACTTAGGTTGTTCTTGGCATAGGGTGCTAGTTAGTCTATTCGCTGCTTTCCCTAGTCCAGTCAGCCCTGGCCCCCAAAGGACTGAACACAACAATAATGATAGCTCACTCTAACTTAGCATTAACTCTGTGGTAGGGAATCTTCAATCAGTTTTCTCACTTCTTACAAGACAACATCATAAGTTAGGCTATGCAGGAATTTAAGGCTTAGAAATTAAACATTCTGTCTTCAAACATGGTTGTCTACTGATGCATCTTCCATGAGGACTGCATCGTCAGTGGCCCCTTTTCTCCTAGAAGGCCAAGAAATCAAAGGTTCTAGTAGATATTGAGGACAGTGGAGAATATGGGGTTTTGTTTTTGTTTTTAATTGCACCTGTTCAAAGTAAGGGCATCTAGGGTTTTGAATGAGTCAGCAAAAAGCGAAATTGAGCTTACAGTCCACAATCTACACACACACACACTTACACAAGTGTATGCCTCAACTTGACTCTCCTGTTGGAAGGCAGAAAATGCAAACCTGCATCTCTATCCAGGAATCTGTCCTGGAGAATGAAAGATAGAAATAAGAATTTTAAAAATACAGCCCAATAAGCACAGGAGCCTCTTATCAACCCCCACTGTGCAGAACCACAGGCAGTCCAGGGAAACCGATTAAGGAGGAAGAAGCCACATGGCCAGGTTATCACTGACAAGAGCCCTTCCAGCACATTGGAGCAGAACGTTTCTGTAGAAGGATAGGGTCTCAGGTTGGAAAATGAAAAATCCCACTTTCAAACTTGATGTGTGTCAAAAAACAGAAGAAAATGTGTCTTTTCTTCCCCTTGTAAAAAGGAAGTCTTATCAAAGAGTCAGGAGGCATTTGATCACCCATGGTTTAGAATTTGAATGCAATAATATGCCATTTCATATTATGAGGGGGAATTCTAAGAAAAGGTAGAAGGTGCACCTGAATCTGGTTAATTTCAAAATTCAAGTTCATTCCCTTAATTTCTAAAATTCATTTTGTCACAAACAGAACTCTACTGAGAAATCTAGTCTTATCTCTAGCTCTGCAGCCTTGGCACATTATTTGATCTCATTTATAAAATGGACATAATAGTGCCCATAAGTAGGGAACATGGTGTTTGTATACAGAGAAAATTATTAGTTTGTACTGGTATGTTCTAATATGGCTGTACCAAATGTTAAAAAGTATAGATATTTAGGGTTGCCTGCGTGGCTCAGTCGATTAAGCATCTGCCTTCAGCTCCGGTCATGATCCCGGGGTCCTAGGATCCAGTCCCGCATTGGGCTCCCTGCTCAGTGGGGAGCCTGCTTCTCCCTCTGCCTGCCACTCCCCCTATTGTGCTCTCTCTCTGACAAATAAATAAATAAAATCTTTAAATAAATTATAGATATTTATACAGTGGTTAAACTGCATCAAACGATCCTTTGACCACATGCTTGATGACTATCCCCTACCTGCTACCCTAGGCTTTCTGGTTCATTTCTTAGAAGCCCTTGGTCTGGACCTAGACCTCTCCACCTACTAAGGAGCTGAAACTTGGCCCTGCAGAAGGCCCCCTAAGACTCTGCTCTACTGTCAATGCCAATGTGGGTTCTGTTCTCAAATATCAGCTTTATAGGTTGGTTGTGTAGATGGAACAGTATCAAGCAACAGGACATGCTTATAAGTTGTTAAACACTCTTTACATGTTGGTTACTGACCTAGACTAAAGCTGCTTCCTGTCGTAACCTCACACACAAGAGTATTCACTGAGTCAGAAGAATAATTTGGATCTTCAACTTCGAGCCCAGTGACATCTATGAACAAGGCATTTTCCATTCTGCAAAGTCAAATAAGACAGAGTCCCTGCCTTCAAGAAGCCTTGTTCAGTCCAGAAACTAGTTTGGAGAGAAGACATAGGAACTAATCCAGAAGAACCCCCAATGACTAAAATGGAACAATCTGAACAACAAAATTAATAATGGTACTATTGGATTATAACTCCAAGAATAAAATAAAAATATTTATTTTATGGTTGGGGAGAAGAAGCACATCTTCCCTGCAGAGGAATTTCCAAATAATATATGTTAATACTCCCCCTCTCAACTTTGGAGATTATTTTACTTCTTACATTGGGTGGTGGTTATTTGGGAGCATCAGAGCATTCAGTCCCTCCATCTCCCACTTGATCACGCATTTTTGGGTAGTATTTTGGCCTTCTTTTTAGAGGAATTCTCCATTATTTATAATTTGGGGATGGTGGAAAGGATGGCTATTCCCAGAAACTACCTCTCACTGCTGTTTCCTATAACAGACACAGAGAAGACCAAGTCTTGCCCTCACCCCAATATATGCCTGACCATGAGGTCTATTTCACACTTTGAATCTCACATGCATGATGCAAAGATGTAGGCTGGAAGTTTGGTGATATCTTGACCACACCTAAGCTATCCAGTTCCTGCTTCCAAGCCTCTGAGGTTTCCTTGTTTTCTGTTTTTGAAGCCCATTTTCCTAGCCTGCTTTCAATTCTGTAAGCTCCTGATATCCTTCCAGTTGATTCCCTTTTTATTTAAGAGAGCTAGCGCCCATGTCTGTTGCTTGCAACCAAGAGGCTGACAGATGAAGATGTTTTATTCATGTTTACCCACCCAGCTAGCACAGTTGTTTGCAAGCTTCAATGTGTTCCACAATCCCTCGAAGTGCTTGCTAGAAATGCCCCACTCCCAGAGAGCTCATTCAGTAGGTTTGAGGTGGCGCCCAGGAATCTGCATTTGAGTAAGCACTGTAAAGCACAATGCCCTTACTTGCTGGTTTCTATTGTTATCTTTTGAGCCCTATCTATAGGATTCACTGACCTGTGCTCTGTGCCTCATGCAGAGCCTGACACATAGTAGGATCTCAAGAAAATACTTTTAGACACAATATTCATCTTCATTCTGACCAGTGTTCCTAGGCAAATGCAAAACAACCTTTGCTTCTATTGCAAAGGCTGATCACCCCCCACCTAAATGGTAAAAGGTATAATCTCAGACTTCAAAGCCTACAAGACTACATCCATAAGATATTATACAAAACCTAATTCTTATGGTCAACTACATTTGAAACATGCTCTGTATCAGCATGGTCCAAAAGAAATATAATACTAGCCACATATGTAATTCTAAGGTTTCTGACAGTCATATTAAAAAAGGTAAAAAGAAACGGGTGAGATTAATATTAATATATTTATTTAATCCAATATATCTAAAATATTATCATTTCAAGATATAATCAATAGAAAACATTTATTAATGAAATATTTTACCCTTTTTTCTGTACTACTTTCTGTATTTTATATTTGCAGCATACCTCAACTCAGATCAGCCACATAGCAAGGGCTCAGTAGCCATGTAATAAGCTGCTACCAGTCAGAAAGCACAGTCTATATACAACATGCTTCTATTAAGGATGCATGCAATACATTAGTTCATTAAGGGCTCTGAGTAATTCTGTCCTCAGAGCCTACTGTAAGAAGGTGTGCTTAGCTTTCTTTACCTCCAAATTTCTTAAACCCTTTTCACTAACCATGGAACACACACACACACACACACACACACACACACACACACCCTGGACCACCTATTGAAATCCCACAGAATTACTCCCCCTGAAAACATTTCTTTAAAAAACACTTTTTTTGGACAGATCCAAAAGAAAATCACTACTTAGATAGCAACAGAAGAGGAGGAATCTAGATAACGTGGCGAGGAGGTGCAAATGAGGGAATGTATGCATGAGGGTGTATGTGTGTCGTCTGAGAGTATGCGTGGGTGTGAGGGTTGTGCGTGAGAGTGTGCATACATGCTGGAAATTGTCAGCAGAATTTTTGAAAAGCAAATTGAAATGTGTTATTTTTTTCCCCATGATAGTGTCTAAGGTTGATCATTATTTGATTTATTTCCTCATGAAAATTATATTCTTCAGATGAATACTTTAAATTTTTAATATATTTATATATTTAATATATTAAAGATGAACCAAAGAACAACAGCTTGGTGATAATAAGAGTTATGGCATGATTTTTTTCTGTTTTTGTAGCTGTGGAAAAATTAATATAGTTAAGGCTAATGGGGGACATTCCAGGAGTTACGCATTTGACAAAAATAATAATTAAGAAGCATATATTGAATTTCCTTATATTTAATAGTTAGAATAATACAGTATCTTCAGGACCTGGGTTTCTGCCAAATGTTCCTTCTTATTTTTAGGCTTTAAACAAAAAACCCAAAGCACTACCCATTCTCAGACAAATCCTGACTCTTTCCCAAATGCAACATGTTTTTATTACAATAAAGTTAGGAATACACTCCAAACAAAACATGATGAAACTCCTCTCAGGGAAGGGAAAATCTTCGAGTTTCCAACGTGGTGTATGTCCCTAGCTCAGTACTTACAATGGGAATGTGGCCAAGCAGGTCCCTGAGATGTTCATTAACTCTAATGGAAGGGACGTGGCCAAGGCACGTAATCAGTGTGCAGCTTTTTAGATCATTCAGGGAGGCCAGTTAGCATCTGAGTGATCAACACTTGCAGTATTTGTCATTTGGGGACCTCTTCTTTTTCAGATAGTGTCTTCCTGTCTTTTTTAGTTGGTCTCCACACCACCTTTTTGAAAGCAGAGTATTTCCTTACGGATAGATAAAAATGGTAGATTATCTTACTATATTTTCCAGGCTAAGAACTAGAAAGTCCTCAAATCTTTTCCTTGTTCTTTTTCAATTCAGAAGGTGGGTTTGAAAAAAGACATGGGGTGTCATTGAATAATCAATGGCAGAGTCACCTGGACTTTGCTTTAGAAATACAATGTGATGACAAAGATGACTCTTCTGCCAAGTATTTTGATCACTACAGTCTAGATTTGGTGGAGACTGCTGCTGGCAACTTGAGGTTGGGCTAGATAAAACATATGATGGGACACCAGAGTACAGATTAGGCCAAGAGTTCTTGTTCTGATATGGCCTCATGACTCATGGTGCAACCTCGAGTATCTTCTTTAACGCAGCTTCCCTATCTGTTCAATGGGTAACAAATTCATACATCACAGAATATTGAAACTTAAACAGTATGCATAAAACAAACCTGGATTTGTGTTGGTGCTGTTTATTACTCAGACACTCAGATTTGGAAACAAGGAAGGATACAACTCACCACATACTGAGTTAGAGGATAGAGAATCTTTAGCATTTGGTGAGCACCTCAAACCAAGATGTCCATTTGTGGTATAGTCTGTTGTGTTTTGACCGTTGTGTCAATGACACTAGCCTTTAATGGAATCAACTACAACAGACGTGTCTCAATGACTGATGTTTGGCCTAACTGGAAAAAATGATGCTTTTTCAATAACCTAAGTGGTTAGGCTTATAGAGTTCTGTAGACATGATGACACAAATGAATTCAAAGAGAAGCTTATGTCATGAGATTGGGGAAAACAGTAACTAGAGCCTAAAAATATATTATCTAATATTGGAAACAAATCTCTGGGTTTTTTTTATGGCACAGCAGACAAAGTGATTTTTAGGGGCTACTTTGCACAAATGTCTCTCTTCAAAGTAAAGAGGGTTGCTTACTTTGTGCGTGTGTGTGAAAACTGTGTTTTCAGTACCCACTGCATAGGAATAAGTACTTAGTGTGTGCTTACTAATGGTTTTTGTTGTTAGTGCTATGACTAATTGTAGCTTCTAATGTAATTACTAATTAAAATAGCTTTGTCTCAGCCATTGAAGAGAGCAGAAATGTGTTAGGTCAGTGCTCTGGAGTACCTGACAAACACATGGGAGGATTCCAAAGAGGATCTCCCCAGCTCTTGATTCTGAGTTCTTCTATTCAATCTCATTGCCCAAATTCAGGCTAACAAAATTATTCTGCTCTTCCTACCCACATCTGGCCAGTGGCTGATCATGAATCTGTTAGGAGGCAGATACCAACAACCCAGTCTGTCTGCTACTACCTAAAGCCTGGCCTTGCTCACACTCCCAATTCCTCAACATCCCTTTGTGACTCTGTGGTCACACCTGCATTTCAAGTATTTAGTTCCCTAGGCCCGTCTAAAACCTGCTCAGTGCTCTTGATTTCCCAAGGTGAAATGTGGCAACCATGGCAATGTGAACTATAGACCTCCAACTGCAGGGAGAATTATTGACGAAGCCCAGGTGCTATGCTCTGAAGTGCATCACTGTGCTTGGTCTGAGGCCATGCTTCCCATAGCCAATGACTGAACATGACAAGGATATTAAGGCATGCCCATTCCTGGAAAGCACAGGACTCTTCTAATTTGTGGATTTTGACTTGAGGACTTCCCCTCGGTCTTGCCAAACATTCGTTAGTACTGCACTTCAAACTTGCTTCTTTCCGTTATTGGGGTCAGGTTGGTGATGCAGTCTGATGGTTCTCAGCATCTCCATTTTCTGTCACAGCCATTTCCCCCATAAACACTGGTATATTTAATCTTGTCGTAGCATCAGTTTCTGAAAAGACCCAAACTAACATGTGAGAGGTAGGCTTTTATACTAGGGATGGCAAATTATCTATAAGGAATGCCAATCCTATTAGGAGTTTCTGGAAATGAAATAGCCCTTTAGAGTCAATCCACTGTCCCACTGGTATGGTGCTTAGAGTCTTGTGTTGAGAAGAATTCTGAAGCCACAGGGCTTTGGAAAATGTGCTGTCACTCCTCCTTTCTGTGCCCATGGTGGACATTGCTAATTGATCATGCTTATGTGTAAAATATAGCAGTGCTGAATTAGCAATATCTGCCATAGGTCTGAGTACTTATGGTAGAATGTACGTTTCAAACCTATCAGCAGAACCTAAAAGTGAAACTGGTGTATCAAGATGGTTTGATTTTAGGAAGTTCAGTCCTTTATGAGGATCCCCTTGTCAAGTTTTTCTAGTAACTCCCAGGAAATGCTCACATGTTCCGCGAGTCTTTGTTGGCTGATGCATGCCATCTCCTTCACCGTTGCACTCTCCATTTGTCACTATCACTACATAGCCGACCATTTCCCACCACTTCCTTCTCATTAAATAAATGTGTGCACATGGCTTTAAAAGCCTAACATAAGCAGTACCAAGGGGCTATATTTTTAAAAAGTCATACCTTGCACTGTCCTTCATTTCTGCCCCCCAGAAGCAACCCCTCCTTAACTTTCCTAGCTACATCCCCTAGTATTTACTTCCATATTTATAAAATTTTCCATATACTACTCTCTCTTTGTTCACCAACGTAAGAAGGTATCCACCGACTTCACTACATTCTACATAAGTACTTAGCTCATCAGCATGTCCCACCATTTTCCTTTTTCTCAAAACTCCAACATAGTCATATGTTTTACTAAATCAACAGCCAATGTTTATATTACTATGATTATGCAAATATTCAACTCACTAGAATTGGGTTCAAACATATATTTCTGCAGGAGTTAATAGTTTATTATTGTTATTACCAATTTTCTTGGTTCCTGGAGCCTTCCTTTCTGGAGTCTGCTGTTCTCCTGATTCTATCTGGGCCAATTTTTCTCTTAGCTTGCTGCAAGTCTGCATTCCTAAGACTATCTTTGCCAGTCTTCTGGATAACATCCCACATTTTCCTATCTCTTGTGTCTTTCACTTTCTTGGTTTACTCTTTCATTTTGATGGACTGTCTATATTCAGTTTGTTGCTCTTCCTTCTTATATCATTTCACTCTAGTATTTTATGAAGAAATATGGAAAAAGAGGTAGATTTATTGAGTACTTGCCCATATGAAAATGTCTTTATGCCCTTTTTTCCCTTAGTTTTATACTCATAGCATAAAATCTATAGTCTTAATAGTAAATCTAAATATAGG